GCCTCGAGCGAGGCTCCTGCCACGTTTCCACCACGCTGGAGCGCGCGCTACCTTCCGCCTCGCGATGGGCGACCGCCTGCGCCTTCGCTTCCCAGATGCCCTTTCCCCTCGGCGGTCCTGCACTTTCGCCGCCTCTTTTCAGAGGCTGGAGGCGCGCGCTTGCCGTGCGGGTCGCGGCTCAGGGCGGCCTCGAACCCACGGCCACGCTGGCGGCCGCAGCGAGCTGGGGTGCTTGGGCGAACGACGGGGCTGGGGCCCAGGCCTTCCGCTCGTGCTGGGGGGGGCCGCGATGGCCGAAGTTGGACGCAGAAAAGGACGTAGGCCTTTCCCCAAAGAGCTTGCGATGCTCCGCGTCGACTCACCTAGCGCCCCGAGCACCCCCGCGCGAGTGCGGGACCGCAGGTTCGGATGGCTTACCAAGTCCACCTCCCGGGCCTGCGAACGTCGTTTTTCTCCTCCTCTGGCGACCCCGCCCTCCCACCCCCACTCTGTTGCACCCCTGAGGCAGGTCAAGGCTTCCGCGGGCCAGGGTTCCCGCTTCCTCCACCTTGGAACGTCTGCCTGTGGAACGAGGTGTTTCGGGAAACGGTGGCGACCTGGGGGTGGGGTTGGGCTTACAGGGGAGGGAAAAGTTAGCAACTCCTGACAGGCACGACGTGGTTTCCCTGAGAATTTTTATCCATCCAGTCGTGGGCCGAGGAGCCTGTGGAACAAAGTGGAACTTGAGGGGCTGCTGCCGGAGAGACTACGTCCCGGGATGACGTCACCATGCGATGTTTAAAATGGGAGCCCTTTCGCCTCTCCTGTTGGTGAAAGAATCCTGGCTACTTCCTGACTCAGACTTCCAAGGCCCCCCTAGCCCCACTTGCTGCTGGTTTCCTTTTCCCGCACTTTGTTGCTCTCTCCCTTTTATTACCTTTTGCTATTCCCAGACTATTGGTGCGGGTGGATTCGTTGTTCAGTTTATCCCCGTCATTATTCCTTCAAAATGGGAAAAAAGTAATTTCATATGACTCATCTGGGTTACAAGCAAAAAGGAAGGCTACTAAGTGGCTCTTTTCTTCCTTTCTACCTTTTATTTTTCAACAGCAAAGCAAAACTCATAAACACCCAGTTGGCGAATTTAATGAATGGGGAGCTGGATCTGTTAAGGATTCAGAACATCCCTTTAGTTTGGTTCCTTGTTTTCTTTGGTGGGGTGGAGGCTAATGTAATTCCATCAACAACTTTCACCCCAAACCATATATTAAATTGCAGTGGGTTTTCTTTTCCGTTGTAACATGGTGGTTTATAAATGAGGCTTTATAAAGTGGAAATGGCTTGCATTTTTTTAGGAGGAGGCTGCGCAGCTGTTGTGGGGTTGGGTTATGTATGCCCACACAGCCCTTGCTTAGAAGCTGGTTGAGGAAGGTGGATTTGGTATTCTAAGGTTCATGGAGGAAGGTTTTGGGTGCTTTCCCATCCTGGAGCAAGGTGGTGGCTATGGCTGCCAGCACACTTCTCACTTAGCACTAGAGAATTTAGTTCACAAGTAGTTTCCTTGTTTGAATTTGCACAGAGTAAAGGAATCACGTGAAGGACAGATACTTAAAGAGATGATTAAGAAAAGAAAAAAAGGAAATTAACAGAATTAGCTTTATTTTTTTAGTGTGTGGGAACACAAACTATTGCTAGGTTAGCCAATTTTTATACTAAACATAGCAGAAGATGTGTGCCCTTAATAATTTACTCCAAAAAAGGTAATGTTGCTTAAATGCAGCATCTGAATAACTCCAAGTTACTTATAGCAGCCAAACGAATGAGCTCATTGCATAAGGACAGCATACACATTGAAACAACTCTAGGATCAGGCTTATGAATTAATGATAAATCATCTTCCATTAAAAAAAAGTCCTTTGAGGCCACTCCAAAATGCAACTAAAATTCTGTTTTTGTTGTTTTTTTAAGTTAAATTTTCTGTAGATAAGCCTGAATTTCCACTCTAATGTTTTGATAGAATCACTGTTTTTAGTCATCTTTTAGGTAAATATCTCTCTTCCTGAAAAAGCACTTCTATAAACTCCATATTGAACTTTTGAAATGTATATTCACATATTATACAGTTCATTCATTTAAAGTATATAGTTCAATGACTACTACAGATTTTTACAACCATCACTATTAGCAATTGTAGAACATTTCCATCACTCCAAAAAGAAACCCCAAACCCTTCAGCAGTCATTCTCCCTGCATCTCCCTAAACCTAAGCTATTTTCTACCTCTATAAAACCATATAATATATGATCTTTTGTGAGTGACTTCTTTCCCATAGCATAATGTTCATCTTTGTTGTAGCATGTATCAGTACTTTATTCATTTTTATGGCTGAATACTATTCCTTTGTGTGGCGGTCCTGCCTTTTATTTCTATAAGTTGGTGCCCATTTGAGTTGCTTCCTCATTTTGGCCATTATAAGGTTGCTACAGATAGGTATGTAGATGTTTTTGTGTGAACACTTGTTTTCATTTCTCTTGGATTTATAGCTAGGAATATACTTACTGGGTTAGAGGGTGAATTCGATAGTTAACTCTTAGGAACTGCTAAAATTTTCCAAAATGGCTCTGTAATACTGGGTCTTATACTTTTGTTTTTTAAAACTGAATTTTTGTAAGTACTTTAAATCACTGTAACCGAATACTGACACACTTAGTGAATAGTAGAAACTATTATAAGTGTTTCTCTGTGCTAATCCTGATTTTACTTTAGCCAGCAGGAACAATTTGGTGTGCTCTCTTAGCTGAACTTTAAAAGCTAAGTGATAAGATTCTTAAATAATATTTTATAATAGTAAGCTCTTTATGCCATAACCATAATTAATGATTGTTTCCAACTTTAGATATGAGCCAGTGAAACAAGATAAAACTAGGAGGAAAGGGAACTATTAAAACAAAATATTTTGCAGCTCTTTATCTTCTGATTTTTATACTTTTGAGATAACCTGTTTTATTGTTTCAGGGCAAGATGAAGAATGAAATTGCTGCTGTGGTCTTCTTTTTCACAAGGCTAGTTCGAAAACATGATAAGTTGAAAAAAGAGGCAGTTGAGAGATTTGCTGAGAAATTGACTCTAATACTTCAAGAAAAGTATAAGAATCATTGGTATCCTGAAAAACCATCAAAAGGACAGGCCTACAGGTAAAAGAGCAGAACAATTGGATTGGACGAGTGAAGAAAACAATCAGTTCCTTAAATTCCTGCGAAGCCAGAGGACTAATGGGTGACTGGGTCAGACCTATCAGTTTTAGATTTTAAAAGCTGCATAAATATTTGTTGATGGAATCCTATTGCCTACACCTGAGAGGCCAACTCTAGGATGATAGGCATTAGTCTTATGTCTTATAGTTTGACTCTCTTTAAGAGAGTTTTCTTTAATGTGTATTAGAGGTTTACCTGAGGGTTCATAACTAGAAGACCCCTTATAAAACTATAACTCATAAATAATCATGGTAAGAGTTGAGGGAAATGAGTTTCATTGTGTTTAAAAATAAATTGTATGTTATATATATTGGTGGAAAGCAAAGTTTATGGAGAAAGGGAACTAAAATTATTAGGCACCCAATGTTCTTGATATTTATGGAAATAATTTTTATATGCATAACTTGTGGTCAAAACCAGTTTGCCTATTTTATAGATTAAAATAATTCATCTGGGGTCCAATGTTGGGTAAGGGATTTAAACCCAGGTCTAACTGGCATCACATTCTTATGAGTGTTTTGTACCCCGTCATGTGACCACTGCCTTGGTTTTGAGAGGGAAGATAATTCTCACTTGCATCTTTCTTTTGTACTCTGGTTTATAAGTTACATTTATAGTTTAAAGAGTAAGCGCCTGCAAAACATGTCTCAACTTGCTTACTCCTTAGTAGTTATGTGCTGGCTTGGGAACCTGAGTTGAGAATGTTCTATTGCTAAACTCAGCTGTTATACTTTACCCTATTTGTGGATGTGGCTACAAAAATAAAAACGGAACAGTTGTGACTGTAGTGACAACTATAGAAATTCTCTTTGATTTGTGTATAATACTGCCCCCAAATTTTCCTCCACAAAATAGCACTTTTGTGCTTTGATGTAAAGGGGTTTTACTTTTTGTTGTTGAGATCTGGCAAGTGTAGGGACTACTCAGAATCCAGGAGAAAGGTGAAAATAAGATTTATTTCTCATTTTCTAAAATTCAGGTAAACCTGTATTTTATTGCCATGAAAATAATTGAGGTAATTGGCTTATTTTCCCCTTTATTTTTATCCAAAGAGATTTTCTAATGGAAAGTGGAAAATTAAAGGAACAATATGGATATTCCATGAAAGTAGGCTCATGTTTGTTTGTTTGTTTTTTTAAATCTTCCATGATTCTCTTAATTTTTTTTATTCATCACATCTCTAATAGTGTAAACAGCTTTTGTGAGGGAGAGCTGTTGAGGCTTTTTACACTAATCTAATTGACACTGGATCAAGGCTTTGGAAGTGTCAAGCTACCGTGCTCTTCCTGAAAAAAGACTTGTCAAGTAAATGCTTAAAGGTCAGACAGTGTACAATTTCATTTCCATTAATTCTGAAGTCCAAAGAAAAAAGTTAGTCAAGCAGGTCTAAGCTGGCGTATGATCAGACATTATTGAGTCATTTTGGAGCTGTCTTTGAAGTAGAAAACTATTAGACATAATGGTTGAACGTTAATATTATAAAAATGTATAGGATGTAGGATTAACCAGAGTTAAGACTTTTTATTCCATAAGAAGGCTGAAAGTATTTTTGTTCCAAAATAATGCATTAATTAAAACTTTCTTTGCAGTATACTTGTGTATACATCAAATGCTTGGGCAGAGCTATTTGGCAATATTATCTTGAGCTATAAAAATATTCATACCCTTTGAACAGTAAATCTAAGCTATTCTAGAAGCATAATAAAAAATGCAGACAAGTATGTATGAATATGGATGTTTCTTACACTTTGTAATTGAAAAAATTGGAAAGAACTAAACTGTCAAAATTAAGAAAATGATAGATGTTAAATGCAACTTTTAAAATTTTGCTTTGAAAAGTAGTTAATGGCTAAGTAGTCACAGTATGTAGGGTGAGAATACATGAAATATGTAAGGTATGCAAATTTTATTGAAGCAAAGTCTATTTAAGCATCTCTTTAAGCTTACAAAGCTTGTAGTTAATATCACCCTCATTGTTGATATGAAAAGCATAATATGTCTAAGATAATATCCCCTCACCCTTATGTGATTTTGACCTTCTGGTTCATGAGACTTTTGAATCATCCTGTACATTAGAATCTGTAGTATTAGGGCCATTTTATAAAAAGGACCAAGTGGCACTCTGTGTACCGTAAGATGGTTTTTTTTCCCTCTGAGTTTACTGTATTGTTTTAGGGTGATAATTAGGTAGGTGCGTGAGCAACTCTGTTGGCATAGTGGTTACCTATTGGGCTGCTAAACACAAGGCCCACAATTCAACGTCACCGGCTGCTCTTTGGGAGAAATACTATTTTTAATAACAGATTTAAATACACATTCAAAGCATTTGAAAACTATTTGTTTTATACCCCACAAAAATCAAACTCACTGCCCACTGAGTTGAATCCCAACTCTTAGCAACTCTAAAGGACAGAGTAGAACTATTTTTCAGGGTTGTTTTGAGACTTTAAATCGTTACGGGATTAAAAACCCTCATCTTTCTCCCACTGAGCAGCTGGTAGATTTGAATCACCGACTTGCAGTTAACAGCTCAATGCATAGCCCAAATTGATATCAGTAACTCATAAATTAGAATTACTATTATTTAGTGAAATTTATTGTCAATGAAAAATATTTTTTTATTTTAAAAAAAATCAAAAGTGATAAAACTTTAAATAGCTTGTTCTCCAGTAAGAAAGTGCTACATTTTATGGCACACTTGTTTTTTCACAATTACCATATATACTAAAGTATAAGCCGATCCGAGTGTCAGCCAATGCACATAATTTTTTTTTAAACATTTTATTAGTGGCTCATACAACTGTTATCGCAATCCATACACATAACCATTGTGTAAAGCGCATTTGTACATCATTCTCAAAACATTTTCTCTCCACTTAAACCCCCGACATTAGGTCCTCATTTTTCCCCTCCCTCCCCG